GACCTGGTAAATACGAATCAATGGAATTTCTTAAATTTGTATTTCCAACAAATTTTCATATTAGCTTAACTTACGCTCTGTAATATGTCAGAGAAGATTATGGAACCTGACTGAAATCAGGTGACTACGTTATTTCATAATACGGTAATCAATTCAGTACTCAAAACGTTCTATACTAAAGTTACCCATGATCTGTGACGCATGATCTGGTTTAGTTGCAACTATGTTAACATTTTTAAAATGTAAACAATCAAATGCAAATAATTGGACAATGTACAACAAAATTATGTCATATAAAAATTATATATATGTTTCCTTGAATACAACCATGAATATATTTACAGAATGTTGAGGACGTTACTGTAATTCCAATGTTTGTAAATTCAAAATTTCGGTATAATATAAATAGTTAAATATTTTTATACTTAAATGCTAACGACTGAGTGATAACAACTAAAGATAAATTGTATATCTTTAGTGATGTTTATTAACTAGTATGTAATCTTTGTATAAATTAATGGTTTTGTTAATCTCATATCAAAGTAACACGACATAATGAAATTCACTAAACTCACTAAAATTCAAATAATATTACAAGATATAACTAATAAACTATATGATAAATCATGTCTAGATTTCTATGAAATATTTTTTGATCAAATTTATGGACATATATAACTATTAAAGCCTTAGCAAGCTCTCTTATATTTATTTGAAGTCAATATAGTAACTTTTATCGCATTTTTTCGAAGTTTTCGTTAGTAGCGGAAGTTTTTGGTTTTTTAAGATGATCATCTAATAAAACTGTTCCCAACACTTTTAAAGTCAGATTACATCATATGTGTATGATTTTATTATTATTATTATAATTTCGTTATAAAAAAATTAAATTTAGAACTTAGTCTATTTACAAATAGTAGTTATAAAATTCTTCCATTCATCTCTACTTCTGGCAGCAAAACGTAGCTGATTAAAGGTTTTGTTTGTTTCGGTTACCACTGGTTTTCACTAAGTGGTTTTGGGACGACATCGTCTCCTTACTTCTTGCGAGTTCCATTCCATGGGTACGTGGGCAATTGCGTCTGTCGGCTTTCTAAGTGTGTGGCCGATGACTTTATATATGAACCATGAATAGCAATTAATTAATAAATTAATAAAATCTATTGATTACTGAAATTATGTGAGATATTTTTATCGGGTTTACATTTGAATATATTATTCTTAAAATCGTAAAACTATTTTCGTCATGAACGATCTATTGTTCGATCAGAAAACAGCTTGAGAAAAGCTTATGCGACAATGAATCACTAGGTTCAAGTGGATCTCTAAAACAACTGTAATATTTTAAGGGCTATGTATTGTTTGCAATGTATGCTGTATCTACAGTGGATCTCTACAACCATTGTAATAATTTAAGAGCTATGTATTGTTAGCAATGTATAATTATACAAATCATTCCCTAAACATAATAATAATAATAATAATCATAACTTAATGCTTATGTCATTTTCATACTCATTATTGCATTTGAGTTTAATCCTCTTGGTGTTAGAAACAGTAAGTGATAAAGTATAGTAGTTGGTTAGGTTTAAAAGCCCATTGTGTGAACGTATAAGGAAAAACTATGAAGTTTAGAACCATCTTTAACCTTTGGCAAAGCTTACTTAAGAGAGAGTCGTACAGTTGACCAAGACCCTCAAATAAGAAGTCCGCGAAAGTGGTAAGGCGGTGCCGCGCATATGCTGGACAACAACAAAGCAGGTGCGTGGTGTGATAAGTATGATAGTAATTATGATAGTGATGGCAGTGATACTTCCACTGTTTTCAACAGTTAAAGTTATATTCATTATAATTTTAATTTGATGCTTATTATATCCTTAAATTCTTATTTATTTACAAATTTCAAAAAATGCATTATAATGTGCTCTCTAAGACTACAATTTCTCAGAGTGCTTAAAAAAATAGAAATAATTATGGCTGCTTTAATTAAAACTTAATTACATAATTAAGCACACATTTTATTACACAATTAAAATTTATTTATATGTAATAGTTTCATTTTATTAATTTTTCATTTATTTTAATGTTAAATAAAATTTGTTTGCGGCGGTTAGCAGTCATAAAATTTTCCAGTCATTCAAATCGCTATCGCTACATTAATTGAATTTCATTATAGATAAATTAACTGTACAAAAATATTTGAAATACTTAACTGGATGCAATACATAAATGGATAAGACATTACAAATTTTCATTTCATTTCATTTTAATTTTCATTTCTATTTCCATTTTCCACAGCTAATTAATTAAAAAGCTATTAAGATTGAAACTTGGCGACATCATAAATTTGCACATTTATTCTGCAGCTGGTGAGGCGACGGCTGGAACCGGGACTGTAACTGTTACTGTGACGGCTGCAACTTCCTTGCTCAGCACATGACACCAGCGGTTAATACATTTTAACCGACAACTATAAGTTAATGCACGTCTATTGTACCGGAGAGCAACGGTGTCTTTCTATTTCATTTATTTCATACAAAAAGATTTGAATTTTCTTGGCAATTGGTGGCCACTTAAACTGTTGCAATATGTGTTGGACGTGTTCGTTGTGTAGCAATAATCTGGACTTAAGTTGCAAAACTTGTCATGTGTCA